AGATTTTACCTTTTCAATGAAATTTGAAAAAAGGAGGTCCTCAATTCTATTATACATTTTTATGTTTGTTTTTTTTCATAACAATAATTTTCCAAATCGATTTATAACTAACAGATAGTTATAAATCGATTTGGAAAATTATTTTTTTAACTGAAAGGATATACTCACAAATTGGTCCCATAGAAATTTTATCAAAATCTGTTTACTAGTTTAGTTTTCAAATCAAAATAACCAGCTTTGTCATAATTAAAGTCGGTTTTGTGTGGAACGCAATCTTGAATTATTGAAGTAGCTTTAAAATATATTCTTCCATCGGTGTAAATTAGGCCGTTCAAACAGGTTTCAATAGAAAAAGAAATCCAAGTCGTGACTGTCGTAGGCACGACCTTCACTGTAATATGTAAATTACACATCGGCGAATAATATGTATGAATGAATATCTGCGCTGCCTAAATGTATTTAAAATACTAAAATGGAGGGGGGCTTATCAAATTGGCTGTATTTAGTGAGCGTGTGTTTGTTATACGAGTATTTTGCATATGTGTGTTACGCACGCACACACGCGGTACATTCGCTAATTCGGAATCGAATTTAATATTGTTTTTTTTTTTTGCGGTCGACCCTCATTCATGTCATATTAATTTAGTTATTTAGTTATATTTTTTTTGAGAACAAAATTTAATCTGTGTTCAGATTCTTCGACCCTCAACATTTTTAACTTGATTCAGTCGTTAAATTTCATAAATAATAGTAATACTACCGCTAATATAAGATCCTAGTATAAGACCTAAAGGGGGGCGGTAAGAGACCCAGCAAAAAACATGGGGGCGCTAAAAATAATTTATTCTCAAAGTGGGCAGTAAATAAAATAAGTTTGGGAACGCCTGATATACGGAAACTACATACTTAAAAGCGAGCAACGCCGCGGGAAACGCCTAGTAAAAAATATATATATAACCCAGATGCTGCAGGCGGAGATCTGTTGCCATTGAACGTAAACGTAAAGTTACGCAAGGAGATGCGGTACTCTATTCGCTTCTGAACGAAATAAGCAGGCCTCTTATAAATGTGAATCATGTTGATTGATACATACGAGTACATACTTAGTACAGTATATGCAAATTGATAAAACAACATGTTTATTTATAACTCGATTATACCTCAGCAGTATGTTTTGATATTAAGGTTTTTTTTTTTGATGGGTGAAAATGGTATGGTAACTGCGCCCGCGCTAACGGGATACACTGGCGGAGCACCAGTGAAGGGTGATAGATGAGAATGAAAACAGGCCAGTTAGCCCATCATGATTAATTCATCAGGAATTAACCATGATAGTTTCCAGGGAGAACCGCGAGGAGGTCGACCTGGTTGGGTATATTGCTAGCAATGGGATTCTCAGTCTCCATTACTAACAATCCCTTTCCCCTGTTAGGTTATTAAGGTTTCTTCAGGGGTGGCAATGAATACGTGACACCCCTAGTGTAGCGGCGTCCATCTGACGGGCTGTATGCTAGTTTTTCATCTTCATAGTATAAAAAAATTCTATATGAAATGTACATTTTTATAGTTGAAAATGGAAGTGCACGTTAGCGAAGATAGTAATAACGGATGGTGGAGGTTTTTTTTATGGGTGATAAAGGAATGGTAACGTCGCCTGCGCTACCGGTAACACCGGCGGAGCACCAGTGAAGGATGATAAGTGAAAATAAAAGTGTAGGTCACTTAGCCCATTGTGATAAATACACCTGGAATTAATCTCAATTACTAACAATGCCTTTCCTCCCAGGAAAGGCATTGTTAGTAATTGAGACTAAGAATCCTATTGCTAGCAATATATCCAACCAGGTCAACCTCCTGGCAGTTTTCCCTGGAAACTATCATGGTTAATTCCTGATGAATTCATCATGATGGGCTAACTGGCCTGTTTTCATTCTCATCTATCATCCTTCACTGGTGCTCCGCCAGCGTATCCCGTTAGCGCAGGCGGGGTTACCATACCATTTTCACCCATAAAAAAAAATACACCTGGAGTTCACTACGGTGGTTTTCAGGGGGAACTACGTGGAGGTCGACTTGTCAGGATATATTGCTAGCAATGAGACTTCCGCCCAGATGGTGGTGGTAGGTGAGGATGAAGTCAGGTGAGTGAGCCCATAGTGACGAATTTTCTAGGATATAACCATGATCGTTAGAGGAGAGGTTTGTTGAATGAATGAATTACTTCACTTTTATTTTCATGAATAAAATAATATAATAAATACAAAATATAAGAATAAAAGAACATAAGCAATATAAATATATGTATATCAATAATTACTAGTACCGCGTTCGAGTATTCTGGCACTTCTCTATGGTTGACTGCGAATGTTTTTAGCATTAAGTTCGCCAAGTACACATATATGTACTAATAAATAAATAAATATTTGTTTTGTAAGTAAATCGGTTGGTAGATCGCCAGCGTGAACTAATAGCGCACGAGGGGAGCTATTTCAATTTCATCCACTAAAAAAAACTTACGATGCTTTCAATATATATTATATATTACTGATACATGATGAACATACATACATTTCGTACACGTCGCGCGCTAATGGTTTTCTCGGCGCGACTGCAGGCGGCCGTAGTAGATAACCTCGCGTTATCATAGTCTCTTGTTTACCTAACCCGTGAACGTTAGTAACAGGCCTGTTAGACCGAATGCTTCATTGATTTTAACCGATTAAAAAAAAAGGGGTTATCACATTGGTTGTATTTTTTGAGTGCTTCAAAAATAAGGACGTTCTCAATTCGACTGTATTCTTGTATGTATGATCTGGACCGATTTAACTTGTTTTTTATTTATATAATTAAATTTGTAATCGATGGGGTTAACTTTCGTGTTGTTCTCATATTTTGTTAAGATTGAAGTAGCTTTTGTCTTAATTAATTTATTATTTTTGCATTTGATGGGATATAATATGTAGTATACTCTCATCCCACATAGAAATCCCATATAAATTATGTCTTGAATAAATATGGGTTCACAATGATTTAATAACATTTGAACAATAGTATTTCACATTATTTATATTTTTATTATTATGAAAGTTGGAATAGCAAATAAGCTGAAGTCCTAGCGACGAATGCACAGCACCATCGACATCATCGAAGAAATATTCCTTAAGATTGAGATGTCAGAATGAAATATAGCTATGCTGGGAGGCAGAGAAACGACTGAGACAAAGGTATCTAAGCCTACAAAGTCTTCTGTTAGTGGCGAACTAACTTTACCAACATTACCTAACAGGATATCCCCAACAAACCCTCACATAAACATACACAATGTTTACATATTAGCTCTGTTATAAGCAATACCGTTTAAATAAAATTTATGAGTTTGAAATTTGGCTGCGGTGCTTGTTTATCGTGGCATCAGTTAAAAATGATTGCATGACAGGCATTCTTCCAATTGCGCTCGCAATTAGATTGTTCCCCATCTGAAATGCAGAAGTAAATATAGCTTCATCTCGCGTATACAATTTATTTTGACATCTCTGTCTGTTGCAGAGCTTCCCAAACGTTCGCAGATCGTTTACCTTCGTCTTTTCCTCGTCCCATCTAATTTGGGTCGGGTCTCTTCCTGTTAGTAGTTTGGGTCGGGTCACTACACTATACTTACAGGTGGATTGTTATTTCTTGATTTTCTCAAGAAATCCGCTGGAGTTGTTACTGATTTTGGTCTATATAGTTAAAGTACCTAATTACTACATTTTAAAAGAAATTGAACATGTGGCTTAAAAAAAAATATATGTTCTTTAAATCTTTCAAAACTTATGTTATTTAATAAAAAAAAACGGGGTTACTAAAGAATGTATTATCTATATCTCGCTTTTTTAGATCCTCTTTTAGATGTATTTTGTATCTAGTGTATTTTTATTTTTTCACCGATATGGTTCCAGAGATCAATTGGAGAACAATTGACCCTGGGGTCGTGTTGACTTCATCGTGCCACCTTATAAAAGTCTGTGCCCATCAACATAAAAATTCTTGAATAGTTGTGTTTTATGGATTAAGTGAATAACTTAGTACATACAATATTTGTCAATAGTAAGTAGTATGTTACTTGTTATTAATTGTTACTTATGTATTTTAATTTTCTTATTAAATATTTTATTTTAGTAGACGACGTCCTTTAATTATATGAGATGATTTTTTTTTAAATTCAGTTTCCCATCTCTTCATATGTGATATTTGACGAGATTGATAACTGAATCATATGTTGGTTTATTCCTACACTCGTCTCCTACATGTTTAGTTTAAAACTTATTAATATGTATGTATCTATATATCTATATTTGGAATACTATGCACAAAATGGCTCGCAACCTTCAATTACGTATGCACTACGAAAATTTCTTACAGTTGGCACACATCCAGGCCATTGCGTTTTCTCTTTGCTTTTATAACTATTTTAGGTCTTTGCACGCTGGCATGGTGTGCTATCTGGTGATCTGTTGTTTATTGGCGTAGGTTTATTTCCCTCCTAAAAGGCTACTGATAATATCATTAATGTTTCACAATGTAAACATAAAATCTACGTCATTGCCTTCATCAATAAAAAAATCATAGAATATTTTTAGATGACCTTCAAAATTTTTTTATCGAACAAAATTATCATACACATTTTTAATTACCTAATTTAAATTTTTAAGTTTTATATAAGTACCGGCGAAAAAAAATTTATCGATACGGTCTAATGGGCCGTAATCGCGTCACACGGTCAAACAAACAATCGAAGTGTGACAGTGTTCGGGCATACTATCGCATTTTCCGGAGGCTGGCAAGCTTGCGGCGGCGGACGGCAGTGCCGCCGGCGCACGCGCACGGAAAGCATGTGCTGCGCGTCACCGCGATGTATATAGAACCAGCCGCGTTCCGCGCGTCCAGCGCGGAGTCCCTCGCTGTCTCCGAAACCCCGACCGCTGTTTGGATACAGTGCTTACCCTCACCGTTATTCGCAGGCAAGAAAGCGCCCCTCAAAACCTACGAAGAGGTCCAGCCCCTCCTTCAGCAGGGCCGGAAGAGGGATCTCAAGATTCTCATAAGAGAGAACTCGTGGCCGATCAACAGCGCCGTCCGCGCGTCCCTCTGGCCAGCCCTCTGCAAGCAACACCAACATGGAAAGTCTATGCTCGACGGATTCTACTGGGACATGGTTACGCAGGTCAGTGATCTTTATGTTACGCAACCACACTTGACTGTTCAAGGTGCACGGCTCTCGATTGGATTCGTGGATTTTTTTTTCGTGACTGAAACGCAAAGCGACGACATTAAAAGGTGTCATCTCGAGGAGTAGGCATACTCTCAATGCTCTCAAGGTCATGTGTATTTACTTTGCACAACGCCGCCCAAATGTTTATCAGATAGCGCCCTAAGATAACGTACTGGAAGTCGATGAAATTTTGCTTTAACTATTGTAAATTAATATTTACAAGTATCCTTAAATAATTGGAATTCTTAATTATAGTATTTCTTTTTTTGTTACTTATTAATTGCTACATAACAAACACGTAGCTATTAATACTTTAGCAGGCGCAATTATTTGAACAGGTGTCTAAATAATTGTGTTGACGGATCTGTCAGTGACGGCGTCATCGAAATTCATGTTGCGTATCTCTTCAAAACCGATTTCTAACAAAACACTGCTCAGTGTTGTAAAGAGAATAAATGTAACCATGCACTGTATCTCCTTATACATATATATAAATTAACACTTCAATTTTGACAAATGTAAATCGAAGTAAATAAATCGTTAAAGCAACCATTAAAATCGGTTAACAATCTAAAACTAATATTGTAAAGACGAAAGAATATATTTTTGTTTTTAGTACTTAAATAAATTGAAAAATTATAAATCGATTTTAAATAATTATTTCATGTATAGAAAACTTCATTATTAACAGCGAGTAACATGGACTATATTTTATTTAAAAAAACATGTAAATATATTGCATAAGTGACATGTATTCGAATTAACCTCATGTTTTTTAAATTACGTGGTTTCCAAAACAATATTTTGATATTTGGTGCGAACACAACCGAAAAGCGTTCCAGTTGTTTACGCTCGCTGTGTCATACACACGGCAGGTCCTTGCTTACTTACGACATCAACGTGCGCGCGCGCATCCTCCGCGTCACAGTGGGAGCGTCCCGCGCATCTCAATTAACCGGCCGGTTAACAATAGCCAACTAATTATACCACAGGTGCGCTGCTCTGTAGATAATGAATGGTGGTGCCATGAAATAGTGGTTTTATTGTTTTCTAATGTTATATTTTATCAGTATTATGTTTATTTGTATAAGTGTGTGTTTAACACTCCTATGTAATCTATATATTAATACGTAAAGCAAAAACTTTGTACCTCTTTTTACGAAAATCGCCCAGACGGAGGAGTGTGAAATTTAGTACACTTCTAGTTTTTATAGAGAAGGAGTGCAGAATGCTACTATTTTTTTTAATTATGCATAAAAAAATCTTTAAATCAATAAAAAAAATTACACCATTGCCATGTATTTGACACACACATACACACACACACACACACACACACACACACACACACACACACACACACACACACACGCGCGCGTATATATTCTTTTGTTTATTGTTAAAGTTTGTGGTCAAATTGAGAATAGATTAATATTGTTTGTCTTTAATATTATTTGTCTATAGTCTTACTAAATGTCAAACATAACCATAATAAATTCATTCATTACAATATATGTTATGGTCGAATTTCGACCACTGGGCGACCACTAGTACTTATTAAATATTATACAATTTAACAGGAATAAACGTATATATCATCTGACGACCTGAAATAATGTGTTACAGTGGATGCAGGTGACTCAGGACCGTTCTTTATGGTAGTCTATGAGGAAGGCTTATGTCCAGTAGTGGACGGATAATGGCTGAAATGATAAAATGTATATACCACACGAAATCCTTAGAGGGCAAGTAGAGAGATAGCCTGTAAAGAATTACTGTAAGGATATTATCGCCAATTTTGGACACGGATATTATATCCATATGACGAATGACTTTAGCTTGTCACCATAACGCTGTCATGGCACTTCGGTTATAGGGTTTGATTTAGTTTTCAATCGACTTCAAGAATGAGGTTCTTCTTTCTATTGTTTTTTTTATGTTTGTTACCTCATACCTTACCTCGCGGTTCTCCTTGGAAACAATCGTGGTCAATTCTTGTTGAATTCGTTGTGAAGGGCCAACCTACCTTTTTTTTTGTTTAACGTGTGGAAAATCTTCAGTAAGGCCGTCCCATCTGCCGGAGTGAGGGCTAATGGGGTGTGTGGGATTCGTACCCACTAGAAACCACACGACGTACCTCGAGGCGCTTATGTTGGATCCCGGGTTCCCGTTTGTACGACTACCGAGTATCCAACGCGACGGCTCGCCTTGTAGGTGGTGTAGGACAGGCCTCCTCTCTTAGTTAGGGTGGGGCCAACCGACCTGCATTTCTCCTTACATATCATCCCACACTGGTGTCCTACCAGCGTACGCTGATAGCGCAAGCGGGATGTCCATTCCATTTGTACCCATTTAAAATGGAGAGAAATATAATGTTCAATTCTTTTCAACTTGTATAAATGTATTAAAAATCTTTAAAAGAACTGTATGTATAATTGGCACGTCATCAACTGTGCCTGTTCACCTTCGCTTGCTCATGAGCATAACTATTTAATGGTCGTGTAAGTCTTAACCTCTCAGATCTATTTACTGTCACATTAGAATCATAACAATCTGTTTTCAATTTGTATGTATTAAACATGGTTTGTTTGCGTAGTTATAATTTATTTGTAATCTAACATGTGAGTTTATTTTGAACCAATTTCAAAAAGGAAAGACAATTTGATGGTATACTAGTTATATATATATATTATATATAAATCTATTAAAAAATCTATTAAATATATAACTAGCGACTTGCTCCGGCTTCGCATGGATGCAATGTTGATACTACAGAATATAATTTCGAATATATATTTTTTAATTTATCGTAACGTACATCGTCGTACGATAAAATTATCGGTGTTTCTCTACTATATTATGCATGTATTATACATATAAACTTTCCTTTTGAATCACTCTATATATTAAAAAAATCCGCATCAAAATTCGTTGTGTAGTTTTAAAGATCTATGAATACATAGGGACAGATAAACGAGAAGCGATTTTGTTTTACATTATATAGTGATAGTGATATACAATTTTTAACCAATTTTAATTTTAACTACTTTAATTGTAACTGTTTTTTCGACACAGATTACGAGTATAACAGTTTTGTCGACACAGAAGTTAAACATTTCGATTAAAAACTAAGCCATCAAAAGATTTATTTTTAATCGATTTTTTTAGAATATGTTAAGGTATAACGTACTAAAACTATAATATAATAGATATCTACCCTAATATAACTTACCTGTAAGAATACACACAAAAATACACTATTGATTGTCTTTTTTTAAACTGATTTAAAAAAGAAGGAGACTCTCAATTCGGTTGTATTTTTTTTTATATTTATTACCTCACAACTCCGGCAGTTGTAAAGTGAATTAGAAAATTCTATTTTATCTACTTATAGATTGTCCACATAATTTTTGTCAAAATTCATTCCGCAGTTTAGTTTTTAAAAATAATTCGTAGTGCCACAATTGAAGTCGGTTTTCCTTTTTGGAACACAATCTTAATCATTATTTCTCTTAAAATCTCCTATAAGAGATATCAACAAAGAATAGACTTGTTTTCCTCAGTGTATCAACCGATTTTCCGGTGACACAGTGCGTTCCATGCATTACGATTTTCATTCAGGCTATATGATTCAGTTCATTGGGAGCTCACAACGTGCCGTCCAATGTCAAAGCGATAACCGAGCCAAATGTTCCGGTCTTCCAAGAAACTGAAGGAAAGTGGCACCCAAAATACTTTTAAAGTGTGATCATACTCTATTTTTAATTTTGTTTGTATTTTTTTTATGTTACTTTTGAATGGCAAACAAAATAATGGTTCACCTGATGGAAAATGGGAAGCTTTGCCTATAGAATGGCAATCGACACTTATAGACAGAACTATGGGTATAAACAGAGTATGCTTTTTCGCCTATGATACCCTTCGTGGGTTATCGTTCCTGAGAACAAAGGTGTTATGTCTCTGTACCCTGCGATTTTGTATTAATTTTGATGTGATATTGCATGTTTTATTCTCTGATCATTGTGTCAAACAGCTACATCGTCAATGTCACCATTTGTTATGCTGGTTTAAGACGCAGCATTCCGATAGTAGCGATTTTGATGTCTGCACAATACAAACATTTTTAGTCACATGTATGTGACTGTTCTTAAATTAAATGAAATTTGCATTAACACATACAAATAATTAAATTATGTTCCACAAAAAAGGCCGACTTCAATTGTGGCAAAACCAGCTATTTTTATTTCAAAACTTAATACTGAACCGATTTTGATAAAATTTGTAAGTATCTTATATATTCTTTTAGGTTTAAAAAAAAGGAATTTCCCCAAACGGTTTACAACTAACGTAGTTATGAGGTAACAAACAATAAAAAAAAATATATATACAACCGAATTGTCAATCTCCTTCTTTTTAAAGTAGGTTGAAAATACAGATGATTTGAGCCCACGTAATCTTTGGAAATTATTAAAAATAAACTCTTTTAAAAAGAATGGAAGAAATTTAAATATTTTCCTCAATGAATCAACCGAATTTCTCCTGAAAGTGCGATGTACATACAAATTGTATGATTCAATACACCGGGAGCTTACCACGTGCCATCCAATGTAACATTGAATGACAACGGAGCCAAGTATTCCCGTGTTCAAAGAAATCGAGGAAAAGCGACTCCCAAAATATTTGTAATGTGTGGTCATAGTCTTTATTTAGTTTTCTTAATTTTGATGTGACATTGGATGTTTCGTTTACTGATCATTGTGTCAAACAGCTTTAATAAGATACGCGATTTGACACAATTATCAGAAGGAGGTGAGGTACTTATTATTATATGTGTAGGTATTTTTAACATTTAGGTATTTGTTTATACTTTTTCTGGCTGTGTTATGCAATTATGTGTTATATTGTAATTATCCTTATTAATATTATAAAAATAAAAGGGATTCTTTTGTTAC